TCCTTCGGACGCTGCCAAGTTCAACTCCCCACATTACATTAACCCATTCAAAGTTATTCCAAACCCTCAGATCGGCCCCATATAACAATTCCTCGGTACCGAAGCTATGGCTCCACACACCAAAACCCTACAATCCCCAAGTGGTTTAGGGCTTGTGCCCATAGGCTCCATAGCAGTTCCTTTTTGTGGTTAATATTCTGGATCCTAGAATAGGTAGGGTGTAGGGGCTTGCATCTTGGGAGTTTGGGTTTTAGGGTTAGGGCCCAGCCCTTACTTATTCGTGGGTCACAGTCCCTTTCCTCTTGAAGTTTAGCAGCCGCACTGAGCTGGTACCCCCAAATCCTAAAGCCAAACCCTGAACTTTTAATACACTAAAGCGAGATCCCCTCCAGCTTTCAGAGCCCTAATTGTCGGGGTCTTAAAAATTTGAGTCGGCGTTGGCGGTATGTTATCATGGGACTATGATGGGATACCATGGCAGAGTAGGCCGAGCTTTACATGTCGCCCCAAACCTCCATGACCTCAGCCCCGAAACACCTTGAAAAGTAATCCTAAAGCCCTTTTGAGCTTTAATGACACCTTGAAGCGTAATCCTAAAGTCCTAAAGCCCTTTTGGGCCCTAGTGACACCTTGAAGAGTAAGCCTAGAGCCCTTTTGAGCCCTAATGGCAACTTGAAAAGTAATCCTAAAGCCCTAAACCCTAAACCGGGAGCCCTTATGGATCTTCCGACAGGAGACGATGCCGAGAGTCTCCCAAAGGCGCCGGTGGTGTGGTTTTTTTCGGGGCCTTCGAAGAACCTAGGGTTTAGGCGGTTAGGGTTTAGGGATTAGGGTTTAGGGATTAGGGTTTAGGGTTTAGGAATTAGGGTTTTGGGTTTAGGGTTTGGTAGTATTAGGGAGACCCCTTAAAGGGGACCCTTCTGAAATTAAATTTAGGTCTGGCTTTCTTAAAAGGGGCCTTATTGAGAGTCTGTATCCCCAAGGGCCTAATCAGAAGTACTTCTCTCCACTAGTTTTCGGTGTAGTAGCACAGATTCAAACAACCCTAAACCCTAAACCCTAAGCCCTATACCCTAAACCCTAAGCCCTAACCCGGCGTAGCAGGATTTGCTTGCTGCAAAGAGACGATGGCATGACTCTGCGGGATCTCCACACCAAAAGTTGTTCCCAGAAGCCCCCACATGCCCGAAAGCAACTCCCGAAGCAGTGTAACAAAGGGGCCTAAACAATTGCCAATACTATTTTTGGGGGGATTCCTTATCATGGTTATAGTGTAATACAATTATTTAGGCACTAGCTAATACTATGTGAAAGCATCGGTCCACCACCTCCGATTTGCCGTTTTGGAGTTTGGGGTTAAGGGTTTAGGGTTTAAGGTTTGGGGATAATTATGGCTCGCCGGTAAGCCCTGCACGCTAGCTTCAAATCTTGCAGAAGCAAGGCATTTGCGGCTGGATGTGCAGTGCCGCATTCTCCATCAACTCCATGCCAAAACCCTCACACAATAAGCCCCAAAGCGACGCCCAACCTCACATTCCGTCATGGTCGCAGTGGTTCTTTATCACTCTGTGGGCACTCTCAGAATATGGTTTAGTCTGGTACCGTAATGGGGATGCTCATACTGTTGACGATATAAATCCTGCATGACCTTACGGACCCTAAAGTATGTGAATGACCTTATATTCCTGATCATGGGGTAATGCAGGATGTATATCATCAACCGTATGAAGGCCTTCAAGGTAGGGCCTTAAAGCTCTGCAGTCGCGGCTTTGAAGCTACCTGTGCCTATAGGGCACCATAGTAGTTCCTTTTTGTGGCTTGTATTTAGGTTTAGGGTTTAGGGCTTAGGTAATATTTAGGATCCTGTAAGGTTCATCCCAAAAAAAGGAACCACAATGGAGCCTATAGGTGGATTAGTCAAAGGTGCCCGCTGCTGATGGATGCCGAAGCCTCAGGGGATCTCTGGTTTCCTCTAATGTAGAGGCCTCAAGAAAGTAGAGTAGGGTTCCTTTAAGGGCTCCTTTAAAGGGTTCTATAAGAGCTACTATAAGGGTTTAGCGTTTAGGGGCCTTAATAATTAGAAGAGATTTTGGGGGCCCATTATGCTATAATTATAACAAGGACCCGCCCCTCCCCAAACAATAGTATAGGTAATTATTTAGGCCCGTACATTACCTTTTGAGGCATGTGGCATGGTTCTAGTAATGAGGGTTTAGGGTATAGGGGTGTCTGGCAATGTATAAGGGTTTACTAGAGCTTCTCAGAGGAAGCCAAAATGTGATACTGAGCTCCAATGCCGGAAGGCCCAAACCCCTGGGGAAACGCTAGACCTTTGCCCAAAAGCCCCACAAAAAGTCGAACTAGCCTGGGAGCATGAAACTACAGCCAGTGTTGGGTTTTACAGAGGGTTTCGATTAAGGATCTGACTTCTGCAAGGCTTGATGCCGCAGTACTTCAGATGCTAAGAGTGTTCCCCTGTGTCCCTGTCTAACCACAGTAAAAAACATGCCCCTAAAGTCTTTTCATGATTATGGTCCCTGTATTGCAGTTTAGTGTGTAGGCTGCAGGACTAGTTCACGGCGTAAGATTTCGGGCTTGGTGGATCCATCTCACCTTGGGTGCTGAGCTGTCCAGAACGTAGGCGGCGGTGAGTCATAATCTGCTTCTATGATGTAACTACGTTCCAGTATGTGCAAGACCTGCCCGTCAGCCAGAGCTGCCGCTTCTGCGTTATCGTCGCCGAGGTGACGACCGACAGCCTGTACGCAATAACCAATATGGCGCAGATGAACATCAAGAATCCGGACCAGCACATGGTGGTTGGCGATCCCTAAACCCTAAAGCCTAAAGCCTAAAGCCTAAAGCCTAAAGCCTAAAGCCTAAAGCCCTAAAGCCCTAAAGCCTTAAGCCCTGCCCGATCAGAGCGGCAGCTATCCACCCAGCATTGGCGGCACGGCGTTCTTTGCACGTTCAGCTGGGCCGGTCTCCGACCCCAACCGGCCTGGCTACCCCCCACAATTCAAAGTCCATGGCGCGCAGCCGGCACGAGCAACATACACCAAACTGCAAATCCAGACACCTACCTTTAGCCCTAGTTGCACACTTTGCTGGCTGATCTCGGGCCCCCTGGAACCAAGTCACAAGGCCAATAAATCCAAAACCCTAAACCCTAAACCCCCAAAAGGCCCGACACACAACCAAACGGCCCCACAACTCAGCGAACGCGACGAAGTCCTGCATCCGGCGAAACCTAAACCCTGAAACCCTAAGCCCCCAAACCCCCCTAAACCTTAAACCCTGAAGCCCTAAACCCTAAACCCCTAAACCGTATCCCTAAGCCGGAAGACCTCTCTGTAGCAAGCCCTGAGCTTCGGCCTAAGCCAAGGCCCCATAGGCCATTTTGGGAGACCCCTTGAAGGGGACGCTTCTTAACCCGACTTTTGGCGCCCTTAAAAAGTGACCTCATTGAGAGGGTCTATATCCCCAACGGTCCCCATAGTCCTAACTCCTACTTCAAGAACCCTTACAACCCAGGGAACCAAGAAGCCAGAACACCCTAAACCCTAAACCCCTAGACCCTAAACCCTAAACCCTAAACCCCTAGACCTTAAACCCTAAACCCTAAACCTTACAAACGTGATTGCAGAATTGGACACCGGATCCGGCCGGGGGCCCGAGATTGCCGCTGCATTTCTTTGCGACGTGTTTGGGGGTGGCGTTCCCGATATGGGTAGTTCTCTAAACACGGTCCCTTTTTGGGCCCCCAATATAGTACGGCACCCTTATAAAAAGGACCCCAAAAGGGACCCTAATTTAGAAAACTACCCATATAAGTATAGTCACAAAAGAAACAGTAGCGTAACAGTAGTAGTACTCGTCGTCGTCGTCGTCGTCGACTACAGCAGCAGCAGCAGCAGCAGCAGCAGCAGCAGCCGCAGCAGCAGCAGTAGCAGTAGCAGTAGCAGTTAATTGCAAGCAGTAGCAGTAGTAGTAGTAGTAGTAGTAGTAGTAGTAGTAGGTGGTAGTAGTAATAGTAGTAGTAGTAGTAGTAGTAGTAGTAGTAGCAGTAGGAGCAGGAGGAGGAGAGTGTGTTTCCGGGAGGCTTCCGGCTTGAGGCTTAGATGGCTTGTGTTTCAAGCTTACTGCGTTTTCCGTGTTTTGGACAGTGGCTGACTAGGGTTTAGGGTTTAGGGTTTAGGGGTTTAGTGGTTTAGGGTTTAGGGTTTAGGGGTTTAGTGATTTGGACCCAATAAAAAGCAGGGAAGTCATTCACACGCCCTAAACGTGTTTGGCTCTGAGGGTCCAGGTAGGGGGTATAGCGATTTGCCGTCAGTGGTTTGGGGGTTTGCGACTCAGGGTGCTGAAACCCAAACCCTAAACCCTAAACCCTAAACACTGAACCCTAAGGCCTACTTGGAGGTTCATGGGTACTTATAACTGGGGTTATAACTGGGGTAACTATACTTGTAACCCATATTAGGGGACTTATAACGTCCAAGAAAGGCCTAAACCCCAAACCCTAAACCCTCATCCCTAAACCCTGAACCCTAAACCCTAAACCCCAAACCCTAAACCCTAAACCCTAAACCTCTAAACCCTAAACCCAAACCCTAAACCCTAAACCCTGAACCCTAAACCCCAAAGCCGACCCGAAGTCCCGAGAAGTCTACACCCAACCCGGCAGTACGGTCCACTGCAGGTTCATGGGTAGCTATAGGTGAGGTTATAAGTCCCCTAATATGGGTTATAAGGATAGTTGCCCTACGTAGAACCCCATTTATGACTACCCATGAACCTCCAAGTACGGTCCACTGCAGGAGTGGGCGACTCCCAGCAACAAAGAGAAGGTCAGACCCCGAGCCGGGGCTTAGGGTTTAGGGTTTAGGGCTTAGGGTTTAGAGTTTAGGGTTAGGGTTTAGGGTTTAGAGTTTAGGGTTTAGGGTTTAGGGTTCGGTGGGCTTTAAGTACTCGTGCTGCGGGATTGGGTGATGGGGTGTAGGGTTGAGGGTCGAGGCTAGGTCCGGGTGGTGTTTATGGTTGAGGGTTTAGGGTTGACATGAGGGGTTTGGGTGAGTGTCCCAGACTCCCGGAAGGATCTAGAAAGTATCTAGAAAGTAGATCCCCTTGTTTGGGACCCTATACTACTAAGGGGTATAATATAGGCACCTCCTTAAGGGATGTACTTAGATCTCTAAATTAGGGTATATACCTTTTTAAGTCCCCAATATAGTACGGCACCCTTATTAAGAGGCCCTTAAAAGGGACCCTAATTCAGAGAACTACCCATAGGGAACCAGCAAAAAAGACATCACGCGCCACTTGCCCTTTTGGGTTTAGTCTAGGCCCCCTCCATGAAGGGGTTTAGGTTTAGGGACTAGGGTTTAGGATTGTGGCGGTGGCGCGCTCGGGTTTAGGAAGTAGGGTTTAGGTTTTAGGGTGTTCTATGAGGATTTCAGAAATAACTTAGGCCTTTATGAAAGACTTTGTTGGTAACGTTCCTTTATCTTCGGCTGAGATTAGGATCCCACGTTTGCCAAGCTGGTTATCTTCCGAGGTCGACAGCCAGTGCTTTTGGTGAAAATGGCGGTCTAGGGTCTAGGGTTTTGAAAGCCTCAAGGTCCAAAGGACCTAACAATTCGTAGTGCTGCAGATTTGAATCAGGCTCGGATTCGGGAGAGCATCAGCATCCGCATGGGATCTCTTCGCGAGGCCAAGGTGCCGAAGTCCATGGTTTGCCAACTCCTCGGCGCGTGAGCCGATGGGTGTCCTTGGCCTGCAAGGGGAGTTTTTTTGTTTTTGTTTTTTTTTGCTTTCGGATCAGGGTTTAGGGTTTAGGGTTTAGGGTTGGGGGTTGGGGGTTAGGAGTAGTGATTAGGATTTAGGTTTACGCTTTGGGGGTTCTGGGTAGGAGATTCAGTGTTGTCCTGCTTCTGCATCATACTACAGGGCTGGAGGTTCTCAGTGACATCTTATCAGACATCTTATCAGACGGTCTTCAGAGGGACCGGGCTTGGTGTTGAAGTTGTGTTTAGGGTTTAGGGCTTAAGGGTTTTAGGGTTTAGGGTTTAGCGTTTTGGGTTTAGGGTTTCGGGCTTTAGGGTTTTAGGTTTTGGGGTTTAGGGTTTATAAGGTTTTGTTCTGGTTGTTGCCGGGCCTGGCTAAGCTGGTAAATCGGCTTAGAGTCTGTTGGCGGTTCTGCAACTTGGCCGAATATAGAGGGCGGATTATAATTTGCACGTGGTTCATGGGGCCTCTCTGTCTGAGCTTGGCCGAATATAGTGGGCGGATTATAATTTGCATGTGGTTCATGGGGCCTCTCTGGCTGAGTATTGATCACACAGTCTCGGAGTAATTGCCTTCGGAAGTGTGGGCAGAAAAATGTCACCCTAAACCCTAAACGGCCCTAAACCCTAAACCCTAAACCCTAAACCCCAAGCCCCTAAGCCCTAAACCCTAAACCCTAAACCCTAAACCCTAAACCCTACACAGACTGCGCACCTAGAGCTGAGGTGCTTGGTGGTTTCGCTCTTTTGTGAGCCTGCAGTTTTGTTCCCTAGGTTCCTGAGGGGTTTAGGGTTTAGGGTTTAAGATTTAGGGTTTAGGGTTTAGGGTTTAGGGGTTCCTGAGAAGTACCCTTTTGCCCTTTTTATTTTGGGGGTCCCCTTATTAAAATCCGAATACTAGGAAAAAGGGTGCCCTTGTTATTTAGGGGTCACTCAGGAACCTAGTTCCAGAGGGAGCTTATGAATTTGCCGGCGCGGCTTCTTTGCCTCGTGGTCCAGCCGCAGCTGAAACACAGGACAGGACCCAACAAGGGCTTAAAGTAGGGGCCTAAATAATAACCTGTAC